AGTTACGGGTGAGGCGCTTCCGCCTGGTCACGTCCTCAAGTAACAAAGAGAGACAAAGAAAACTCTCGCATGTCTCTTCTTAGAAGCCTTCTAAGCTTATCATGGATCTTCTCCTTCATGATCTAATCACCCTCCCCCCAAAGGCACCATCACCAAATACTCACTTTGGAGAGTAAGGTTTCAACATGTGAATTTAAGGAAAAGCAGTGGGGACACAAGCTTTCAGTTCATAGCACCCACCCAGAATGGGAAGCTGAAATGTTCCACTCTGGTCTGTTAAGGGGGCCTACTGGGGGCTAACATAGCACCTTCTCAGGAGTTCTGGGAATGGGCATAGGGATCCCCTCTTCTTCGGGGCTGGTAAATAGTCTACAACCCAAATTCCCGTTGTCTTCCTGCTAAGCTGGAGATGGGGGCAGGGGGTAGAAACTAGGGGACCAAGCAACTTCTGCAGTACCCCCTTTTCTTCCCTTTCTGTGATGTCAGAGGTAATGAGGGTTCTTTCTCTCCTTCTCAAGAGATCGCCCAAGAAACCCCAGATCCATGTAGATTTTGTACATTTCCCTCCATCTTTGATTAAAAATCACTCCTACTATCTGATTTCTTGAGAAGAAAATACTTCTGACTATACAATATTTGGGCAACTCATTCAAAATCAGTTTTGGGGAGCTTAAAAATTTGATAAACAGTTGAGCACACTTGAATTTTTTTCCATGTTTCAATCTGTTACCCAGAAGACATTTCTAATTATCACTTAGCCTTCACCTAGATTTTTAAAAAGGCACCAACTGAACACTGAGTGTTTGTTTTTCTTTCTATCCCCTTTCTACACATACATTCTTCCAAAAAGAGAGGTGATGATAATTCACAAATCTTGGACTTTAGGTCAATTTCAGTTGTTCTTTTCAATTCCTAAAAGCAGAGGTCAGTGGAAAATTCTGTCATTACACTCCTAATGGAAAGCCCCAGGTCAAGAGTAAAAACTTTTCTTTGGCTTAAAAGCTAATGTTGGCCTTAGCACAACTGTGAAATATGTTTGGAACTTGTTCCCACCAAATGTTTTCTGGAAAGAATTCCAGTTTCTAGCAGTGGATAGCGTAGTGATAGATTTAGCACCTCCGCCATGCCTTTCACTGAAGAAACCCTGTAAAAGCCACTTCTGCAAACACATTTTCTAGCACTGGGATGCTTGTTGTGGGCACATGGGCATTCTGGCCAAGTGGTGGCTGTGAGAACAGACATTCTCCAAATTCTTCCTATCATGAAACCTAACGCTTAATGAGAGCTTTTAATCTTGTAAGCTCTAACCTTAGCACTCCACATGTACTGTAGCCTTCAATCTGCATGACAATGCTATGAACTGAGTATTATTATCATTCCCATTTCACAGTTGAGGAAACTGAGACACAGAGAATTTCATTAATTTGCCCACAGTCACAAAAATGGGAAGATGTGAAACCAATATTTGAAATAGGGAAGAACTCTGACTTAGGAGCTTCCACTCTTAGCAACTGTGTGAAAATATTTTGCCTTGATTCTCTTTGGAGTTCACACTTCTTCAGAAGCCAACATTTCACTGCAAACCAGCAGCCTCACCAAAATAACAGAAAGCAATCTGAGAACCCCTCAAGTCATCTAGCAGCTTGCAAACATTTCCTCAGTCCTCCTCTGACTCTTACCATCCTAACAATGATGTTACTGGTGGTAGAATACAGACCCTAGAGCAACAGCAGTGTCCAGGTTGTGAGTTAGACTTTCTTAATTGACTGCATAACTGGTGTCTTCTAGACTCAGTGTATTCTCTTTTAATTCCTGAACTAATGCTCACATGGAAAGTTACAGCCACATTGGTGGAAACTCATGAGGCATTAACTCCACTAAAGAGTCAAAGACTACATCAAGACTATTTTTTGTTGCCACAGTGGTGTGTAGGGTGTTAGCAACCACGCTCTGAAATGGTGCTGCTGGGTGCGGCGGATAATTGAGGACAGGCCTTGAAGACAAGCGGCGATATACTCCATCTACTCCCTGTGGAAGCCTTTTTCAAATCATTTTGACATGACTCCTTCTGAATCCTAGAACAGGTGAAAAGGTAGAGCATCACAGAAAAAAGTTTTGATATCTTTCAAGACAAGGTATACAAGAGGGTAGTTACTGGAGTTGAGGGTCAGGAGACAGTTGCTCTAACTAGTTGATAATCAGCTGTACTTCTGTCCCTGGAGTGTCTCTAAAGCATTCTTATCTGCATCAGACCAAGTGTCAAGGAAATCTACTTTTATTGAAAGTAAGAGAGAGGGGCTGATTTTATTTTCTACTGGTGTGTGATTTATCTTGGGCACCAACAAAACAGACTGGAATTATGTTGAGCCGCCCCAAACACATGAATGTTTCTAGAGGATATTGGTGGAAAATGTTTAGTGACCATGCACCTCAACCAACCAGGTATGTGAAGCAGTTCTAGATGAATTATTAATATGCAATAATTCAAACTTGTTTGGCAGGCAGAAAATGGCAAGGAGGACAATAGGTATGTCCTTGAACTTCAGTCACTTTGTAAACAAGCTTTATAAAGCTTCATTTTTTTTCATACTGTTTCTATTCACATGGCAGTAGAGTAAATAATTAACCAAAACAACTGCTTTCAACCAAATAGATGTGAGCAACTTTGCAATGAGCAAGCTGGTAGATTTTTTAATTTTTCTATTTTTTTTTTTTTTACGATAAGGGGATTTTCAAAAGCAAAGCAATGTTCTTCTTGTTTTTATAAAACACTGCCCTATGTTTCCAGGAAGAAAGGCAAAAACTTTCAAAAGGTCGTTTCATATCATTTCAGCAATGTAGAAATAAGAAAAAAGTCAACTAACAAGCAAAAATAAAAGTGTCTGATAATGATCTTAAAGCAAGTCTTAAAGCAAAATATAAATATGTACATATATGTACGTAATTCTACAAGGATTTAACTTTGAAATTTGATAGCTGTAATGCCTTAATAAAGACCACTTGTTTGTCAAGGGCTAGATTAATCTTTGAGCTGGGTTATACAGGAAATCAAATCCTGTTCCATTAGAGGAGCCATTATTGGCATCTTCCCTGAGTGCAAGCGTGGGCAGACGTAGAGAGAAGCAGACAAAGCTTTTTCCTCTTCCCCAGGAAAGGAGTATGTGCCTAAAAACACTGGATGAGATCCTAAAGTGCTTCCATAAGGCTTTGGGGGAGCATCCACCTGCCTCTCACCATAGGATCATATCCTGTCCCACACTGAAGAGCAATTGTCCTCAACTAGGGGCAATTTTTTCCTCCAAGTAAACTTTGGTAATGTCTGGAAATATTTTTGTTTGTCACACTGAGAGCCCCAGTAGTAGCAAATAAACCAGACAGATCAAAATAGCATCACAAAGAGTCAGAAAATTAAATTCTCATTGGAGCCATAGCCTACCAAAGTCAGGCCAGGACCCATGTACCAAACCTAAGCAGGGTGACTGACTGCTAAAATAAAATATTTAAATAGAACTAAGAGTCTCATAAAATAAAAGTCAAAATGCAAAATGTTCAGGAAAAAAAAGTTGCCGAATTGCTCAATGCAGAGTTTCTCACACTCATTTGATTAAAAGAAGATATTTAGATACTATTAAAAAATAACAGTAATATCAAGAATCAGGAAAATCACAACTTTGGTGAAAAAAAGACAATCAACTGATACCAACACAGAGATAACTCAAATACTGGAATTATCTGACAAATATTTTAAGACAGTTATTATTAAAATGTTTTAATAAGCAATTACAAATTCTCTTGAAACAAATGAAAAATAGAAGATATCAGCAAATAAATATTTCATAAAAACCAATGGAAATTCTAGAACTGAAAAATATAACAGCAGAAATAAAAATTCACTGAGTGAGTGCAATAGTGGAATGGAGATGACAGAAGATAGAATCAAAGAACTTCAAGAAAGATCAATAGAAATTTACCAATCAGTAAAACAAAGAAAATAGACTTTTAAAAAAGTATAGATCCTCAGGTGACTATGAGACAACAACAAAAGATCAAAAATTCATATCCTTGGAGTCCCAGAAGGAGAGTGGAAAAAGAGTGGCATTGAAAGAGGATTTGAAAAAATAATGGTGAAAACTTCCCAAATTTGGTAAAAAAATAAAAATGGAAACATACAGATTTAAGAAGTTGAACAGTCTTCAAATATGATACGCCCAAAGAAGTTTATGCTTCGGCACACCATAATTAAACTTCCAAAAACAAAAGAAAAAATACTGGAAGCATCCAGAGAATAATGACATATTAAACATAGAATAATGACATAAAAACAAACATTGTTAGTTTTTGTTTTTGTTTGAGTTGGAGTCTCACTCTGTTGCCCAGGCTGGAGTGTAGTGGCATACACTCAGCATCGACCTGCTGGGTTCAGGCAATCCTTCTGCCTCAGCCTTCCAAGTAGCGGGAACTACATGAACATGCCACCATGCCCGGCTAATTTTTTTTGATTTATTGTAGAGATGAGGTCTCACCTAGTTGCCCGGACTGGTCTTGAACCTGCGGGCTCAGGCAATCCACTTTCCTCAGCCTCCAAAGATTACAGGCTGAGCTACTGAGCTCAGATGGGAACACACATTTGAATAACAGAACATTTCTCACCTGGAAACATGGAGGCCAGAGGAAGTAGCACAAAATTCTTTCCATGCTAAAAGAAGAATTGTCAACAGTGAATTCTATATCTTACAAAACAATTCTTCAGGAATAAAAGGGAAATAAAGACATTATCAGATGAACTTAGAAAAAATTTGTTGCAAACAGACTTACCTAAAGGAAGTGGGTTAAGGAAGTAATTTATTTATTTATTTATTTATTCATTCATTCATTCATTCATTTTATTTATTTATTTATTTTGAGTCGGAGTCTCACTCTGTCGCCCAGACTGGAGTGCAGTGGCCACTCCCGGCCACCGCAGCCTCACCTGCCGGGCTCCGGTGATCCTTCCGCCTCAGCCTTCCAAGTAGCTGGAACTACAGGCGTGTGCTATCATGCCAGGCTAATTTTTTTATTTTTATTGCAGAGATGAGATCTCGCCAAGTTGCCCAGGCGGGCCTCGAACCCACGGGTTCAGGCAATCCACTCACCTCAGCCTCCCAAAGCACGGGATTACAGGCTGAGCCACCGAGCCTGGCTAAGGAAGTAATTTAAACTGAGTGACAATGATAAAAGAAACTTGAAGCATCAAAAAAAAATGAAAGAACAATGTAAAGGGCAGAAATATAGCACAAACAATAGACTAACTCTTTTCATGAGTTTTATAAATTATATATATATATATATATTTTTTTTTTTTTTGAGTTGGAGTCTCACTCAGTCGCCCAGACTGGAGTGCAGTGGCTGCTCCCGGCCACCGCAGCCTCGATCTGCTGGTCTCTGGTGATCCTTCCGCCTCAGCCTTCCAAGTAGTCGGAATTACAGGCATGCGCTACCACGCCCGGCTGATTTTTTGATTTATTGTAGAGATGAGGTCTCGCTGCCCAGGTGGGTCTCGAACCCACGGGCTCAGGCAATCCACTCACCTCAGCCTCCCAAAGGCGTGGGATTACAGGCTGAGCCACCGAGCCCGGCTTATAAATTATATTTAATGATTAGAACAAAAATTATAACACCTTCTAAGAGTCAAGACTACAATATTTAAAAATGAGAAAGATAATGGGGTTAAAATGGAAATAAGGAGTTCATATGTCATTTGAGGTGGTAAAATTCTATCACAATAATAATAATAAGTCATATGTATATGTATATGTATATATTGTCATATGTATGTATATGTATATGTATATGTATATGTATATGTATATGTATATATTGTCATATGTATGTATATGTATATGTATATGTATATATTGTCATCCTCAGAGAAACCACTAAGAAAACTACATAAAAACATACTTCCAAAACACTATAAATAAATCAAAATAGAACCCTAAAAAATATCCAAGTAATACACAGAAAGGTAAGAAAAAGGACCAGAGGCATAAAAAACAGTGGAAACAAATAGAAAACAAGTAAATAAATAAATGACTTGAGTCCTACCATATCAACAGCTACCTTAAATGTAAGTAGCTAAATTACACAAAATATAGGGCAGATATTGACACAGTGGATTAAAAAAAAGGTAAAAAACGATGACCCAAATATATACTATATAGAAGAAACTCATTTTGGTTTCAATGAAATAGGTAGTTGACAGTAAAAGGAGTAAAGAAATACTGTGTTAGCATTAAATATTTTTTAAAATTGTTATTATTTTAAAAAATTGTACATTCAGGTGTTACACATGCATATTCGTTATATGAACATAGTGTGTAATGGTGGGGATTGGGTTTCAGGTGGCTCATTCCCCAGATAGTGAACATTGTAGGTAGTTTCTGAACCTTATCCCTTCTCTTCCCTCCCCCTTTATTGGTGTCCCCAGTATCTCTTACTTCCATCTTTGTGACCATTTAGCTCACACATATGGGTGAGAACATGCGGTATCTGGTTTCTTTTTCTGAGTCCATTTATTTAGAATGATGATCTCCAGCTCCAACCATGTTGCTGCAAGGATGTGATTTCATTCTTTTTTTATGGCTATGTAGTGTTCCATGATGTATATATACCACATTTTCATTATCTACTGATTGGTTGATGGGCATTTAGGCTGATTCCACATTTTTGCAATTGTGAATTGTGCTGTGATAAACATGCAGGTGCAAATGTCCTTTTTGTATAACGAACTCTGTTCTTAGGGTAGATACCTAGTAATGGGATTGCTGGAACAAATGGTAGATTTACTTTCAGTCCTTTGAGTAACCTCCATACCGGTATCCATAGAGGATGTACTAATTTGCACTCCCACCAACAGCGTATAAGTGTTCGCTTTTCTCTGCAAACGTGCCAGCATCTATTGTTTTTTAATTTTAAAATAGCAACCATTCTGACTGGTATAGGTTAATATCATTGTGGTTTTTATTTGCATTTTCTTGATTATGTGCTGAGCCTTCTCTCATATGTTTGTTGGCCATTTATATATCTTCTTCTGAGAAATGCCTATTCCTGTTGTTTGCCTATTTTTAATAGGGTTATTTGCTTTTTTCTTGCTGATTTGTTTGAGTTCTTTGTAGATTCTGAATATTAGTCCTTTGTCAAATGTATAGTTTGTGAATATATTCTCCCATTCTGTAGATTGCCTATTTGCTCTGTTGATTATTTATTTTGCTCTGCAGAAGATTTTTAGATTAATTAAGTCACACTTGTTTGTTTTTGTTTTAGTTGCATTTGCTTTGGGGGTCTTAGCTGCAAATTTTTTGCCTAGGCCGATATCCAGAAGAGTTTTTCCTAGGTTTTCTTCTAGGATTTTTATAGTTTCAGGTCTGACATTTAAGTCTTTAATCCAACTTGAGTTAATTTTTATATATGGGGAGAGGTAGGGATCAAGTTTCATTTTTCTGCATGGGTTATCCAATTTTCTCAGTGCCATTTGTTGCATAGGTTGTACTTTTCCACACTGTATGCTTTTGTCTGCTTTGTCAAAGGTCAGTTGGTTGTAGGTATTTGGGTTTGTTTCTGGATTCTCTATTCTGTTCCACTGGTCCATGTGTCTGCTCTATTCTGTTCCACTGGTCCGGTACCATGCTGTTTTGGTTAACAGTCTTGTGGTTAATTTGAAATCAGGTAATGTAAAGCCTACAGCTTTGGGGTTTTTTGTTTGTTTGTTTGCTTAGGATTGCTTTGGGCTATTCTGGCTCTTTTCTGTTTTCATATAAATTTTAGGATTCTTTTCACTAATTCTATGAAAAATGACATTGGTAGTTTGATAGGAATTACATTAAATCTGTAGATTACTTTGGGTAATATGGCCATTTTAACAATGTTGATTCTTTCAATACATGAGCATGAGATGTTTCTCCATTTGTTTGTGTCCTCTGTAATTTCTTTCATCAGAGTTTTATAGTTCTCCTTGTGAAGATCTCTCACTTCCTTGGTTAAATATATTCCAAAATATTTTAGCTTTTTGGTTGCTATTGTAAATGGAATTGAGTTCTTTATTTGATTCTCAGCTTGGTCACTATTGGTGTAGAGCAGTGCACTGATTTGTGTGTTGAATTTGTATCCTGAAATTTACTGAACTTACTGAATTCATTTGTCAAGTCCAGGAGTCTTTTGGAGGAGTCTTTAAGGTTCTCTAGGTATAAGATCATATTGTCAGCATACAGAAATATTTCAATATCTTATTCTCCAATTTGGATATCCGTTATTTCTTTTTCTGGCTTTATTGCTCTGGCTATGACTTTCAGTGGTATGTTGGATAGTAGTAGTGAAAGTGGGCATTCTTACCTTTTTCCACTTCTGAGGTTGGATATGTTCAACTTTTCTCTGTTCAGGATGACACTGGCTGTGGGTTTGTCATTATGACTTTTGTCATTTTGAAAATTGTTCTTTCTATCTGCATATTACTATGGCTTTTATTATGAAGGGATGTGGGATTTTGTCAATGCTGTTTCTGTGTCTACTGAAATAAGCATATACTTTTTGTTTTTAATTCTGTTTATATAGTAGATCACGTTTATTGATTTGCATAAGTTGAACTACTCTTGTATCCCTAGGATAAAACCCACTTAATTGTAGTGGATTATTATTATTTTTTAATGTGCTATTTAATTTGGTTTGCTAATATTTTGTTGAGGATTTTTGTGTTTGTTCATAAGGGATATTGATCTGTAGATTTTGTGTGTGTGTGTGTGACTTTTCCTGGTTTTGGCATCAGAGTAATATTGGCTGTACAGAGTGAGTTAAAGAGAATTCCTCCTCTTTTTTTTTTTTTTTAGTTGGAGTCTCACTCTGTCACCCAGACTGGAGTGCAGTGGCCGCTCCTGGCCACAGCAGCCTCGACCTGCTGGGCTCCAGCAATCCTTCCACCTCAACCTTCCACGTAGCTGGAACTACAGGCGTGCGCTACCACACCCGGCTAATTTTTTGATTTATTGTAGCGATGAGGTCTCAACAAGTGGCCCAGGCGGGTCTCGAACCCTCAGGCTCAGGCAATCCACTCACCTCAGCCTCCTAAGGCACGGGATTACAGGCTGAGCCACTGAGCCCGGCTATTTCTCTCCTCTTCAATCTGTGGAATAGCTTCAGTAAAATTGGTATCAGTTCTTCTTTGAAGGCCTAGTAGAATTCAGCTGTGAGTCCATCAGATCCTGGACTTATTTGGTTGTTTGTTTGGAGTCTTCTAATTACTGTTTCAATCTTGCTACTCATTCTTTGTCTGCTCAGGGTTTCTATTTCTTCCTGATTCAAAGTTGAGAGGTTGTATATTTCCAAGAATTTATCCATTTCCTCTAGACTGTCTATTTTATTTACATAGAGGTGTTCATAATAGTCTTGTATGCTCTTTTGAATTTCTGTTGTATCAGTTGTAAAGTATCCTTTTTCATTTCTGACTGAGCAAATTTGAGTTCTCTCTCTCGGTTTCTTAATTAATCTAGCTAGTGGTTTATCAATTTTGTTTATCTTTTCAACAGCAAACTTTTTACCTCATTGATCCTTTGTATTGATTTTTAATTTCAATTTCACTTAGATTTGTTATGATCCTTGTTATTTATTTTCCTCTGCTAGCTTTGGGTTTGGTTTTTTCATGTTTTTCTAGTTCCTTGAGATGTGACATTAGAGTGTCAATATGTGGTCTTTCAGTCTTATAAATGTAGGTCTTACCCGCTATAAATTTTCCTCTGAGCAGAGTTTTGGTTCTGTACCAGAGGTTTTGATACTTGTTTAATTGTTGTCATTTATTCAATAAATTTTTGTATTTCTATCTTGATTTCATTGTTGATTCAAGGATCATTGAAGAGCAAATTGTTTAACTTCCATGTCTTTGTTTAGATTTGTGAGGGGTTTTTTTTGGAGTCAATTTCTAGTTTTACTCCACTGTGGTGTGAGATGGTGCTTGATATGATTTCTTTTATTCTGAATTTATTGAGACTTGATTTTGTAG